AAGATCTCGAATTGTTTGCGCTGCATATTAGAACGTTGTGATCATCTGTTGCTGATGTTGCAAATGGATAAATAATCACTAATGAGCCCCGATAATTGGGTTAAGCCAAAAAATACAAAGTAAATAAGACAACGAAAAACCGTTTAAACGACATCGATATGGATGTCCAACGTAGTCCGTTGTCCGTCGGATGCCGGGTATTTTAATTTGTGTGAAAATATTGTTCAAACAAATAAATCAGCAATAACCAATAATAACAATAAAAATAAATATTATTCGTATTATGCCACTACGCCGATATAGATATATCTATCTGAGAAATGTTGGTCAAATGCGCCGGTAGATATATGTATGTGATTTTGTAAAGTCATTGCCACACGGCGCATGCGTCACATAAATGCTTAAAACAAACAGAAAGCGCAGCATTTTAAAGCCATATCAACAAAAAATCAAAACAAAGCGGGAAAAAAGTACTAAAGCAAATATTTTCCATAAATATCCATTTGGGGATGCGTTGGGCGCCAACAATTGAAACTAATTTAAAAGTTTGAGCATGGCTTAGCCGAGTATGGCCGACTGTATCAAAAACGCAGCCAATCTGAATCCGAATCCGAATCGGAGTCGGAGTCGGAATGTGAATCCGACCTACAGTGGCGCGCTTTTAAAGCAAATAAATAAATAGATAAATGACTAAAGGTAAATAAATACACATTTTTGGACTGCCTGGCATTACTATTTGCAGAGAGTCTACGCCAAAAAAGCACACATTTGATGCGCTCCGAACAACCAAAGTACCTACCAACCCAACGCCCACACCGCAAACATTAATGAGCCAAAGCCACTTGAATTGCCTGTGAAATACAATAAAAATATTAAATATTTAAGCACATTACGGTTATTAGAAGTGCACATAAGGATTTGAGTACATATGTGCTCAGTCACCGAAAGTGTTTGATGTTTAATGATCATCACGATGGCATATAGATATCCGAGTGGCAGGCCAAACAATTTAAAAAAGGTTAAATATTATGAATACCTCTGCTCAGCGAGAGATTTTTTCTGATTCAGTTTCGCTTATCTCTCAATCTTATCTAACCCATGGTTATTGTAAACAATTATTCAAGGAATTTGATGATTATCTAGAGTATGATAAAAATATTACTGAGTAACGACTTTATATGGCATGATCATTAGTCATTTTAATTGCACGGAAATGGGGTGACCAAAAAATTATGAGCGAAATTCCTGCAAGTGAAATATTTCAATCCATTTCATTGATAATTTGAAAGATGCGAAGTCAGTGCGCCTGGATGTAGGCTACACAAAACGTGCGGGGCAAAGGAACTGCTGCATTGACAAATGGAAAAGTAATGCGGAAATTCCCCGCATTTCCTCCCGCTCAGGTAGATCTTAATTGGGCAAAAGATTCATTGAGAAACGAGACAATTGTCCTTTTATGACACGCAATAATGAGCCTGGCTCACACACACTGGCACGGATTGGCACACACACGCACACAGATACACACAGATGCACACTCGCAGATACACTTGGCCAAGCGAAAGGGTTAAGCGGAATAGGAAGGCGTCTATGGTTTCTGGCCCGAAATTAGAATGCGTTTTATCCGGGGCCATAAACGTGGATAGATGGCCAGGATACCAGGAAGTGGCCGCCAACACGCGCTATCAATGAACTGTGGATGTTTATGTTTCGGGTTTCGGATTCAGGTAGGATGCAGTGGGATGCTCGGATGAGATGCGGATAATGCTGGCCAGATGCAGAACTGGGTCACTTTCGCAATGACTTGCCAAAAAGGTGAACTGCGCCGCTGTTCTGATGATTTGCTGCTGCCGCTCGCGATGCCTCGCCACGAATGCGAATGGGAATGAATGAGAGTGACATTGCCATACCTTAACCTCAAAAGGGAAAAAGCGGTGCGGATACGGAAAAAACTGGCTGAAAAAACACACACAGATATTATTAAATGTCTTGTTTGGGAGCCAAAGCAACCCAAGCCAAGCCAAGCCAAGCCATGCGATGCCATCCATGCCCAGCCCAGGCCAGGCCAAAGCACTCGGTCTTTTGTTTCTCTCGAAAAACAGAGCGCGTCGCATTCTCAGTCTCCCCAGAGGTTCGGTCTCCAGAACTCGTCTTAGTAGTTCTTTTTTCCACATTTTGCCACATTTTTTCCTTTTATTTTCTGATAGCACGCTACGGCGAGAAGGAGAGCGAGCGATTATTGATCGCATTAGGGAAAATCGTTAACTGTAACATGGCGTCGCTCAGCATTAGGCTAGGCCACTGCGGGTGTATCTGCAGCTGTATGGGTGTCCGGTATCTCTGGCCGTGTATCTGTGTCCGCGCGTTTGAGGGTGTGTGAGTGGAGGGCGTTGCTGACTGCGGCCTGGCCACGCCCCCCGCAATGGCTAGTTGCCTGGCAACCGGGCCTGCTCTGTTGATACAAGAGGCCAGCGGACCAATGCGCTTGCGCCGCAGCACCACTGTGTACGTAAGAGAACCGCCGCCTGTCATTGGTAACTCCGGCGAGGTGGTGGTGAGACGCACTATAGCGCCGGGCCATTGGCGAGAACGAGTCGGAGCTGGTGCTGCCCGGGCGCGCCGCTGCTGCAGCCGCCGTCGCGGCCGACGGCGACGTCGGCCGAGGCACTTGAGCGCGGCTCGAACAATATTTGTTGGCAGCAAGCGCAAGCCAAATAGTAGACAAGCGTTCCCCTCTGCAAACAGTCACATTCAAGAGCTCAAGCCAAAGAGACACTCGAGCGGACCAGCAGCTAAAGCGGCAACAGCAACAGCAGCAGCATCAGCCCAAAGCAGCAAAAGCAACAGCAGCAGCAGCAAAAGCAGCAGCACAGCACAGCACAACTCCCAGCTTCAGACTTCAGTGGCCAACAGCCAGCTAGATATTCACGTTCGTGCGTCGGTGTTTTGTGGCCGCTCGGTGCGGCAGACAACAAAAATACAACAAAAATACAACAAAAATACAACTAAAAAAAATACAAAGAAAAGCGAATCGAATCATAACAGGAAATAAATATATATTTTATATGATTATCCCGCACAAATAATTAAATCACGGTGTGTTTACAAACAAAGCTTAGATACAGATTCAGATTCGGTATCGGTATCAGAACCTTTCAGCCAACAAGTGACAAGTGCCGAAGTGCTCTCGATAAAATGCCAGATAGATGCAAACCGATTGAAGCAGTGATAGTGCACTGAAACCACAGTTGATATACAATATATCAGAGTAGAGCCACGTTTTAAAGACCTCCTTTTTGATTTTCGTTTTGACTAACGCGTTGCAGAACGCGTTGCCTTTTCCATCGATCCACCAGAGGGCAGCGCCTCCGACAGCCGGCAACATAACGGCGCAACTATTGAACAGCTTTCTGAAGGGTAGCCCCCACCAGACCACCATTGACATCATGCAGAAGCTCTACGCGGAGCCGCCTCCGAGCAGTGCTCCGGTGAGCATGGCCAGCTCGGGTGGCGGTGGTCCTCCGTCGGGCGGCGGTGGAGGCGGCGGCGGCGGAGGAGGAGGCGGTGGCCCGCCACCGCCCAGCAACAACAACCCGAATCCGACGAGCAACGGCGGCAGCATGAGTCCCCTGGCCCGATCCGCCTACACAATGAACAGCATGGGCCTGCCGGTGGGCGGCATGTCATCCGTTTCCCCCCAGGCGGCGGCCACCTTCAGCTCCAGCGTCCTGGACTCGGCGGCGGCGGTGGCCAGCATGAGTGCCAGCATGAGTGCCAGTATGAGCGCCAGCATGAATGCCAGCATGAACGGCAGCATGGGCGCGGCGGCCATGAACTCGATGGGCGGCAACTGCATGACCCCCAGCTCGATGAGCTACGCCAGCATGGGATCTCCGCTCGGAAACATGGGTGGCTGCATGGCCATGTCGGCAGCCAGCATGTCGGCGGCGGGATTGAGCGGCACCTATGGTGCCATGCCGCCGGGAACACGGGAAATGGAGACGGGATCGCCCAATTCCCTGGGCAGATCGCGGGTGGACAAACCGACTACCTACAGAAGGAGCTACACGCATGCCAAGCCACCGTACAGCTACATCTCGCTGATCACCATGGCCATCCAGAATAACCCCACCCGAATGCTGACGCTCTCGGAGATCTATCAGTTCATCATGGATCTGTTCCCGTTCTACAGGCAGAACCAGCAGCGCTGGCAGAATTCCATTCGGCATTCGCTGAGCTTCAACGATTGCTTCGTGAAGATTCCCAGGACGCCGGACAAGCCAGGAAAGGGATCATTTTGGACTCTGCATCCGGATTCGGGGAATATGTTCGAGAATGGGTGCTATTTGCGGCGACAGAAGCGTTTCAAGGACGAGAAGAAGGAGGCCATTAGGCAGCTGCACAAGAGTCCGTCGCACAGCAGCCTGGAGGCCACCAGTCCGGGCAAGAAGGATCACGAGGACTCGCACCACATGCACCACCACCACCACAGCCGGCTGGACCACCATCAGCACCACAAGGAGGCGGGCGGAGCATCGATCGCCGGCGTGAATGTTCTGAGTGCGGCGCACAGCAAGGACGCGGAGGCACTGGCCATGTTGCATGCCAATGCCGAACTGTGCCTCAGCCAGCAGCCGCAGCACGTGCCCACCCATCACCACCACCAGCACCACCAGCTGCAGCAGGAGGAGCTGTCGGCGATGATGGCCAATCGGTGCCATCCGTCGCTGATCAGCGACTACCACTCGTCGATGCATCCGCTGAAGCAGGAGCCCTCCGGCTACACGCCCTCCAGCCACCCGTTCTCCATCAACCGCCTGCTGCCCACGGAGTCCAAGGCGGACATCAAGATGTACGACATGAGCCAGTACGCCGGCTACAACGCCCTCAGTCCGCTGACCAACTCACACGCTGCCTTAGGCCAGGACTCCTACTACCAGAGTCTTGGCTACCATGCGCCCGCCGGAACCACGAGCTTGTGACATCACCAATACCCGCTGGCTTAAGGACGCGCGGAGCAGATGCTGCGCTCGCAGCAGCAACAGCACTTGCAGCAGCAGCACCAGCAACACCAGCAGCAACAGCAGCAGCACCAGCTGCATCATCAGCAGCAGCAGATGCAGCAGTCGGCGCAGCAACTGACATCCGCTTCCAATACACCAGCAACATCAGCAAAGGCCAGCGGCAAGGCGGGATCGGGATCGGGATCGGCTTCGGCCTCGGGATCTGGGTCAGGATCGGGTTCAGGATCGGGCTCTAACTACTCTCAGAAGCTGCAGCAGCAACAGCAACACCAGCAGCAGCAGCAGCAGCAGCAGGCGGCGGCAGCGGCGGCGGCGCAGCAGCAACACCACCAGCAGCAGCAACAGTTGCTGCAGGAACTGCAGGAGGACTCGTCGAACATCACCAGCGATCTGAGCGAGGAGCAACTGCAGCAGCACCAGGCGGCGCAGCAGCAGTTGTACAACAACTATCAGCAGTATGCCGCGGCGGCAGGCTACAGAAATTGGAATCACGGCCTGGCTTTCAATGGGGCCGCCGCCCTGCAGAATCTGCTCTAGCTATAGCTATAGATCCCGATCTCCACAGGCAGCGGCTTTGTTGCGGGCCAGCCAATTAGCGAGTGCAGTGCCGGTGGCTTTTAGCACCTGGCCGCATCCGCATCCGCCTCCGCAACCGCATCCGCATCCATATCCATCCTTTGAGCACGTGAGTCTGGGGCCGCAACTCGCACTTGTACATATAGAAATACCCATGAAAGGGCCGATCGAGAGCGCTGCCTTTTGAGTTGTTCAGTTCCAGTACTATATAGATTCTGTTCCGGGGGGTTATCTAATCGATACGGAGGAGGAGCGAAAGAAACCGTGATGTAGTTGTAAGTGCAGCAGAACTTTTGTTAACATTATTACGTTTTGCTAATACAAATACAAAATAATAATTCCGTGCCATTTGTTTTCGTTGTTTCGAAACAAGCAATAACAATCAAAGCGGTTATAACTGAAAATTTGAAAACACATTTTAAATGTATCCGAGAATGGAGAAGCTAGAGAGCAGATAGAGTGAAGGGATCGTGTGTAATGTTCTTTCAGAAAACAAAGCCCCAAATGAAACAGTCCCAAAAAGAGAGATACAAATACTAAGCCCTTTATCCAAAGGCAATCGCAATCGCAATCGCAATCGAATTCGAATCGCAAAAGATCAAAACCAAAAAGAAATCTAAAACCGAAATCATCATATTGAGCAGTCCAGTCCAGCAAAACCCTAAGAATCTTCAACTATCTAAGCAACAAAATCTGGCCATGCATAAGAAAACGACACGTTTTAACTGAATAATTTAACAAATTCCCATTTATATATACGCGCATCGATATACGCCAATATATCGCAAAATCCCGCATTTCATTTACATTATGTGTCTTCTGTTGTTGTACGAATTCGTTAGATTAAGGCATTTTGTAAATAATCTATAAATAGATACCTTTAAGCAGCCCCCTCCCCAAAACCCTCCCCCCAACCCAAAAAAAAAACCCAATTTAACTAAGGACCCATTGCAAGCAACCAACTTTTAACTAACTCGAGAATTAATCAAATTGTATGAAATTATGCCACACCACTTGAAAGTAAACATAATATAAATATAAATACTGTATAGCATTTAACGTTTAATTAGCATAAATACTGAAAGCAAAAAACAAAACGGAAAAAAAATCACATAAAAAGCGAAACTGCAATTATTATTCAATAATTTTTAATATTAGTTATATTGTGCGTAAAGAAAAATGAAATAAAAAGCCAATTGCAAACACGAAACAAAGACCCATTTTTACATTGAGCTAAGCTAATTAATTAAACTTGATAAAAAATAGTCTAAATATAAACACACACACACTGACAAACTGACAAAACACACACACACACACACACACTGACACTGACAGACACAGAAACAAATGAAAATTATTGTAAAATACACAATATAAAATTCAATAAATGTCAATGCAAGAATTAAAATCCAACTCTAAAGCTAGTAAAAATTAATATTATTATAAATCATGCAAAACAAACACAACGTCAACGTCAACGACAACCAAAATCGACTATTTTAACGTTTGAAATACAAGAAAAAGGAAAAAAAAAAAACAAAAAAGTATCATAAATTAGTTTTCATTTCCCCACCTTTGTTGACTCAAGCAACTGACCTCCAACAATCATTTATATATTGATTGGGCCGCCCGGATGGCTGACTATCTCTATTAACGATATCGACGCCATCGCCGCTATCAATGCAGCGAATTCGAATTGAACGACCGATAGCTGCGCTGAGCAGTTCCAGGAGTCGCTATCTTATCGCAGAGTATCGCAGATGCAGAGTGCAGTTTTCCACCACTACCGCGCCACGATAAACCCTTATCGCCGTGCACTCATAAATTGCAACGGAACAAGAAGGTAAACAACCAGGATGGGACCTGGATGGGTCCCAGGCCCAGGTCCCATTCCATCCCAACCCATTCCCTCCCGGACTTGACACACTGACTAACCCATCTCAGCCCAGCGGCAAGGGTAGTGGATATCTTCCGCCCGGCTCGACTGCCCTCTGTTTGCTTTCTAGTAATATTCATGGAGCACCTTTCCTATCGTGCACCTTATCGCCGCCATATAAACCGAGCAAGTCTGATCCGACGCAGTGCCCCCCGGGCGAGCTACTACTACCTCTTGATCAACATCGGTGTGATTCATTTGGAGGAATCTACGATCCAGGTCCTACGACTCTCGGACGCTCGGCAGGCATTAAAATTATTGCTTATCTAGAGCTGGGGCATGTTTGATGAGCAGTTGTCGCTTTTAATTAAGCAGGAAGGTCACCATTTTCTATATGTCCATACGCCGCATTTTATTTATACATGTGCCTGTGGGGGCAACTGGCTTTAATACATTTTTTATAGCCTCCAAGCCGACTGGAGCTGTTCCATAAAGAGTTCGCATTGTTGTTCAGCTGGGGTCGCGTCGTCGACGGCATTGGATTGGACTGGAAATGGAAATGGAAATGGGCACGGTGATAGGGGGGAATATGGGATATGGGATATGGGATAGGGGATTGTGGGCGACTTGGTCTGGGTCTCGGTCTCAGGAAAAAGCGACAACAAAATGGCGCTTCGTTTGTTGTCGCTTCAATTTCGATTTTTCCTTGACATTGTGACTGTCAGCGTTCTGGCGTTTCTGGAGTTTCTTCATTTTACCCCGGCTGGCAAACAACCCCATCTGGGCTGGCTTAGGAAATCTGTGTTTTGGGGTTGGTTTGGCTAAACTGACAACCACCCAGTGGTCCCACCACCCAACCGCCCAACCGCCCAGCCACCCACTCGAACCCCCACCGAGACCGTCCACAATTTATATATCGATGCCTTAATGCCAGACATGCGCGCTAAAGACGCTCCAGAGTTTGTTGAGCTCTCTAGACAAGGCAGCCCGGCTCGGCTATATTCCATATCTATATCTATATCTACACCTATACCTATGCATGAATGCCACGCCACAGACTGCCATCAATTTGCAATTATTTTTGCCGGAGACCGATTTAAAATTCTATTTCGACCAACAAGTTCAGCTGCACTCTCTCTTTCGCAAAACTGGCAGAACAAAGCCATTTCGAAAACGGCAAATAGGAAAAATTTGTCATGACATTTGTCTGGTCATTAAAAATGTATGATTGCCACAGTTCTGGGGGAAGTCATCGAAATAATGTCTGGGAACCCCCACTTTTTATATTATGTACATGCCTCTATTTGATAAAATGTATTATTTACACAAGCAAAATTCACCAAAAATGCCAAGTTTAAATTGAATTCAGAGTGAAAAGTTTCCAACACTTTACCAAAAGCAACCGAATTTCAGTTCGAGTTTCCCGCAGCACAGATTGTGGCAACAAAGTTGAATTCAGTCGAGTTTCTAGCCAAAAGCCCCGGCTGCTTTTGCTGCTAATAAAGAACCACAATCTTGTAGTAATATTCTAATGGAATATTTAATTTTAAAACGAGACACTGCCAACTCGGGGCGTACAAAGCGAGGAGAATCCCTGCGAATCCCAGCGTTGAAAAAGTGGTCGGGCAACCCTTTTTTCCCGAGCTTATGCCGGATGGATACACAGGAAGTAGTGCCTTTGCTCCATCCTCCATCCTCCCAGCTCCATCCTCCTCCTCCTTGAGTCCCAAACAGCAGGGCACTCAAAGACAGCACAGGTACACTCGATTAAAAAGGGCTATGCATTGGGATTGGACATACTGCTTCAAGACATAGTACATAACCATTAATGATTTGTTCATTTGCATATATTACTTCCAATAGCTGCAGCGCACAATGATGGGCAGTCTTTTATATTCGAAAGGCATTAATTATGTATGTTAGTAAGTTCACATTTTGCGCTGATAACGATCGTGTGTGTGCCATTAAGTTTGGCATGATTAATGCGATTGAGGCACTCAACGTTTTGCAATCTAGTCGGCTTACTGAATAGTAAGAAAATAGTAATACTGAAAACAAAACAGCAAAACTCCATTGCGGCAGTGCAGACTTCAATACTCGAGCGCCAAGAATAATTAATGGTATTTCAAATGCCTTGGGAATGTCTGTTGCTTTTTCGCAGTGTATCCACCTCCTGGTTGGAGGTCGTAGAATCGGGAGATGTAGTCGTGGATGTCGCTGCAGGGGCAGCACTCGCTTGGTTGGCTGCCTGGTTGGCTGGATGGCTGGATGGTTCCATCTCTCCACGTGGACCCCCATGGACCCGGACCCGCCTCAGCAAGCTCCACTCGCTTTGTGCACTGCTTTTTCATTATAATAATACTTTGTAATTAGGTTTTCGAAAGTTAATTAAAATTCGGTTATGAAAGCGGAAACTTTCTCATGAACGCTTCCGGTTATAAAAACGCATGATGGTGGCTGGGTGGTGGGGTTTTTTTGGGGGGGTTTTAGTCCTGGTGGGTGGGGCTACCCGGTTAGGCAAATGGAAAATGCCGGGGTAGAAAAAAAAGAAAGGGTAAAAGAATGAGAAGGGAAAAAGGATTTTCGGTCTACAGTTGAGACAGACAGGGAATAAAAGATGGAAATGTACAAGGAACCGAAAATGTGGGGGGCGCCTTTTGGGCAAGGGGGAAAAAAGGACACGGTGTGGATACAGCGGGTATGGCGGCTGTATAGCAGACAACGGACTGGCGCTCTCAACTTTGTTTCGAGCAAATTTTTGTGCAAACATTTCTGTGAAATTAAAAAATACATATTATATTTTAATGAGCAAAATGGCTGCCTGCCATCGTGTTGTCACGTTTTAATGCCAGCCGCGCCCAGAAACGCAAGGTTGCCATTGCCAGGCATTGCGAACGGGATAATTAAAATGATGACTTGAAAATAAATTGCTGTTATCTCTGACCAACAGGCTGCCTCTGACTCTGCCTCTGCTGCGTTGTTCTGTGCTGTTCTGTGCTGTGACCCCACCCAAAACCGTTGCCGGTTGTCGATGACACGTCGATGTCGACAGCGCCCCATCATTATGAAGTGGGTGGGTGGGCCGCTGGTGGCCCAGGTCCTCGTCCTGGCGAGTGTCCTCGGTGTCCTCGCTGTCCTTTTGGCGGGTCCGTTGCTGTGTGTGTGCTCTATCAGCGCCTGCCGCTGCTGCGTGCTTGAGAACGACACTTACGGATTAGGCCAGCACCATCAACAGCAGCAGCAAGAGCAACAGCAACAGCAACGGCAACTGAAGCACCCAACAGCAACATCTGATGTCCTTTTGGCCGCTGCAGCCTGTTCCTTGCTGCACTGTTCGCTTACTTGTTTATCTAAAACATTCCACACATAATTAGCAGCAAAGCTCTGCAGCTCCACACCCTCATTTCCTGGCTGGCAAATTGAAATTAATCCGCGAAACCTTACGCTCGCAAATGCGGGCACGTGTCCTTCAGCGCAAAGGAGTTCCAAAAAGTCCTGCCACGCGTCGTCCTCCGCCCTCGACAATCAAAACATTACAAATCTGTATGGGCCGAGTGTGAAATCTGCTGGGCATTATCTGAAAACAAAGTGCCATACGTTTTGCCCGATATCTTGGACTATATCTGCTGCCGATGATGGCCGGCAACAGCGGGCTTAGCTGCAACGTCAACGCATTAATCACGTTTCGGCATGGGTATGGATGGTATGGTGTGGTATGGGTATGTTATGGCTTGGTATGGTGGCATGGGGATCGCTGGGGAGTGGGTGGTTGCCCATTTGTGGTTGGTGGGTGGCTCGGTTCGGGTCGGCTCGGTGGGTTGACAGTGACTGATGTGCCGGGAATGGGGCGGGTGGGCGGTCAGAAAGGCGGCTTATCGATTGGCAGTTCGAACACACCTTTATCGTGGAGCAGCAGCCCATTCGATTGGATGAAATTTCAGACGACCACATGGCTGGCATCTAATAATCAAATTGCATTTTGACAGGCCAACAGCATGGGAGTGTGGGATGGAACTCATTAGGAGCTGAGTATGATGAATGAACACAGGACGCTGTGTTTGGCCAGCGGCAGAAAGTCTTATTGGAAATGTTTAAAGCCACCGCGATGGAAAATGGAAAAAGTATCCGGAAAGCGTACAGCATTCCGACCGAACGAGTGCTCCGCATCGCAGATTGATTATTTATTTTCGTTTTAATTAAAACTCGCACGAAATGCACTTGCA